ACTCGTTATACTTATAAACTTAATACCGATAATCAATGATTTTATTTTAAAATCGATAGTTTTCTCGCAGATTCTGATCACATGCTACTTTCGACCGGCATATCCATGAAATACCGAATTATATTATACGAGTTATCAATAATAATATCTGTAAATATGTATGAATATATATAGTAGGTATTATATTGTCCCGATGACGAAAAACGCGACGTATACAAACACGGAATACGACGAAACAATTACGGCGGTGTAAGTAAATGTTTTGCACCGGACTATAGTGCAGATAATACTCGTGCCGAATTTGTTACGTTTTCTTTTTCGAGGATTTTTCACGACCACGGGTAACACGAAGAACGCGTGCGATTCCAACGACGGCGTGTCGACCACTGTCGTCGCCGACTGTTTACACCCGACCAAAAGCGGCAACGCACTTGTTGATCGCCGCCAGGAAGTTACACGGGCGCCCCGCGTGCATTTCCGTTTGTTTACTCGACTGCAGTAGCAGCAGCAACAACAACGACAATAGTACGAGTGATATTTCGTTATCGGCCCGTATTACCGGTGCAAATGTCATCGTGACTGACTAGACGTGACAGTTCTTATACCTATACATTATATTATAAAGGTTTATTTCCCGCGCAAGACAAAACCAGTGCGAAAGTTCGCATAAAAGTCACCCAATGACCTCATGATAAAGTTATTTTTTTTTTTTTAAATCGTAGCGCTAGCAGGCCAGTATTAAGGGGTGGATGTGGAGGGGAGAGGTACAATTACAGTAACCGTCACGGGAGTCAAATTTTCGGGGACGGCAGTATACTATTCAAAATTGGCGTGAAAAGAAAATTATAATCATAATCAATAGAATAACAATGATATTAGAGGCGTAACTAGATATCTTTTTCTGAGTAGGCCAGACAAAAATATACTCGTAGTATCATTAATGTTTTGAAGGGAAAGACTACTAATAAAAACGTTTGATTTTAAAATTGTATTAATTTAGAAGAAAAATGAGTAGGCCCGATCCTACAAGGCCTAAACACTGACTACACCACTGAGTAATGTTATGTTACAATTATACACATTTTGTAAAATCAAAAACAAGGTCAAAATTGATTTAATATGTATTTTATTTTGATAACATACACGAAATTGTTTTAGATTCTGAATGGAGCAAAGAAGCTTATGATTTTACAAAAGTGTTTATTATTATTTTTTTTTTTGTGAACGACTTTTCTACCAAAAATCTTGCTCCGATTTTTAAATGTAACACTTTTTCTGAAAGTAAATCGAACTGAGGAAGTATTTTAAAGAGGTCATTTTTTTGATTTTTTCAGTAGACCTAATAAATGGAAAAAACATGGGAAAACCGCAGGAAAAACGGGAAATCAGATACAATGTTCAACAAATATTATTAAAAAATATATATAATTCCTATTTAATTATTTTACCATAATATGACATATGAATTGTTGACAAAGTAACTACGCTATCAACTATACTCCGCTTAGAATCGTTTTTCATTGACAAAGGTCTATCATTGCTTACAGTTATACATTAAATTTTCCCTTTACTTCCTTCCCAACTTCTCACCTACAAGAAGATTTTTTTTTACTTTATGATTAGATAAGAAGACAAATTTATACAGAACCAACCACAATACTTAAATACTTTTTAATACAAAATCTATTAAAAACTGAACATATCCATTAAATGGTGAACCAGGGTTTATACAAAAAGTACAAGTATTGGATTCTCTACAAGCAATAAATGCTAATGTTAAACACTGTACACTTGCATTTGACGCTATGTCTATCAGAAAACAAATTATTTGGAATGATAATAATAACAAGTTTCTAGATTGTTGTGACTTTGGAAATAATCTTGATACCGAGGAATTCGAAGGTAAGATATATTAATATTTATACTTAGAAGTCTAAATTGTAAATGGACATTACCCATTGATTATTTTCTTCAAAACAAAATATCCTTTGTTGGACAAGCTGAACTTGTTAAACTAGCATTAAAACATACAATGTAATTATTAAAGTTTGAAGTTTATTTTGTGATGGTGCATATACACACATTTCTATAATGAAACACTTAGGACGTAACATGGGTGGCGGTTATGATGAAATAAAATCTTTGGATGCTCATCTAGTTAGCAATGACAAAGTATATTTTAAACTTGATGCTTGTCATAATTTAAAACCGATTAGAAATACCTTAGGAAACTGGAAATATAAATCAAAGAAAGGGAATGTGAAATGAGCTCTTATTTTTAATATACACAATATACAAAATGATATTACCTTTAAATTTGGTTGTAAAATTAATATGAATTTTGCCTAAATACTGTAAATAAGTATACTGGAAGGTCAATGATATTGTCGATGATAAACGGGTAACAATTTTACTCCAAGATCAGTGTTGACACAATGAAAAATAGTTATATTCGTTTTTTAAATTTGATAACCCGGCAAAATATTTATAGAATTATTATTAAATACTTACTAGCAATCCCTTCTATGTTCTGAATTGTTTTACTATTTCATTGTTTTTCTCAATTTTTACCATTTATGTCATAAGATAGGAATTTATAGATAATTAATGAATTAACTATTACAGGTATTAATTGATATCGCATTATAGTATATGATTAAAATAAATAATTTAATAAGTATGGCTACCTTGATCTTGGGTTTTAAAAGTTGATGATTCGGGATATAGACCTCTCAGTATTGTCATTTACAGTATTTTATTTTACTTACGCTTACACAATAATATGTACTGCATTAAAACTTAAGTAAATAAATATTGTTGAAACATCACCAATTGAAACATAGTAATATCAGAATCTATAGAATTATAAAAAAAATTAGATAAAAAAATAATATTTCTAGAGGGGAGCCCTAGACCTATCCCTTGAATCCGTCCACGGATGATGTGTTTACGGACGCAAATTTGAAATTCTAAAACGTCGAAAATTACCGTTCGGTTATGAAGATTCCGAATGAAGAACATGCAATAATTTAATTAAAAATAACACTAATATCTATACGATATACCTGTAATATTTTGTTTATTTGATTAAGTTAAAAATACGTTAAGATAAACCGTATACTATTATAATTTCGTGTAGCTTATAATAGAGAGCCTATATAATTTTTTTAATTGTATTGTAATGAAAAAGTAACTCTGGGGTTTTGTCGGTTGGCTCTGTTGTACTTATGATAGTGGGCCCTATACTGCAGACTAAAAAACGGAATATGCGTGATATTGATTTATTTTGGGTGTTCAATGAAAACACACCACTGACAGTGGCATGGGTGACTGTTAAATATTATAATTGCACTGGCTTTTGAAAAATCTCCGAGCACCACGGCTAGTGCCTGAAACTATATTAATACCTATATATTATGTTAAATTGTTAAACGTGATTTTTATTTTTTTTGAACCGGAGGTATTTATGGTATTTTGTATTATTGTCTGTCCGCTACGGAAGTTATTTTTCTTATTTTTTTTTTTTTTAAATAACAATGAAAAACGAAGATATTAAAATCCAAACTATTTATGCCTCGTCTATTTATAAACACACAAATATATTTATAAATACTAAATACGCTGTTATAATACGAATAATTGATAGATACCTAAAACTTAACATCAAAAGTGTCCGGTTTTTTTTAGATTAAGTCCATGGAACGCTGGGCGTTCGACAAAACGATAGCATAAAACATTTATTACGCCGGTCGCCGTAGTGACGACCATTCTTACAAAAACACATATGTTATTGCTGATTTGTAATAATTTTATCGAAAATACCGTTGGCAAATTAAATACACAAACAAATCAACTGTTGCTTCGTGGATACGGTCGCCGGAAAGTTGGCCATAACATTAATGTGCGATCCGAACCAATAGGTAAGAATAATATTAATTAAGAATATCAAATTTGAAGTTCAACATAACTAATAGTATAGTTTTTGTTTTTGTTTTATTTAGCTTTTTGATTTTCCTGCGCATTCGCTTACGTATTTCATATATCTTCCGATTATATATTATGATTAACATGATGTCTATCAACGCGTTTAACATTATGTTTACCGTGATTTCCCTAATGGAGAACATCCTTATCACGATGTTCTTGGTTTTAATGGCACTGTGTTAGCTATGCAAGAATAAACTAAGCATTTCCATCGGAGTGTGGAGCACAATCGTTCTGCTAAGGTACGCACGTATATCCGAAAAACCGTTTTATGTTTTTAGATTCCGAGCGTAGCAAGGGAGCTATTGTTTTTACTAAAATGTTTATTTCTTTTTTTCTTTTCCCTTTGTTCTAGTCTGTGGATACGTTTTTTCTTAGTAAACTTACTCTAATTTTTACGTGTAGCACTTTTTGTGAAAGCTCAAGTTGTCTAGATTGTACTTTGAACAGGTATTTTTTTAATTTTCGGCATTTTTTTAAATAAAAGCATTTAGATGAGAAAAAACGTAGAAAAACGTGTAATTTCACGATTTCATTATTTTATAAAAACATTGACGATGTTTTCTACCAACAAAAATAATTTAATCGATAAATCACAAGACACCTTTTTGATTAACTACCTAACTATATCATCGCCAAAACTTTTAAGCCACTTTTGAATTTTTAAGGAATTTAAATTTTTGGAATTTTTTTGCTGTAATTCGGTTATAAATACACTTAGAAACTTGAAACTTGGTAATAATACTTATATTAGACTTATTTAGACATGGTAAAATTTCCAAAATCATCGAACGATTTTTTTTTTTTAATAAGCGTTTTGAAATCAAATTTAAACGAAAATCGCAAAAATTATGTATTACCGAACTGCACTCGGAATCGTCTTTCGTCAAGCAATGGTTTATCGTTGCTTACAGATATAAATGAAATAACCTTATGTATCCTACTTTCCCAATTTCTCATCTACAACAGTGGCCGCTTCCATCCCCAGTATCAGCTTTTTTTTTAGCCTTTTTAAAATGGATAATCTGTGCCGTACATCGGGCGAATCTATGCCAAAAGAGAATCGCCTCGTCATCGTTAATCGCCGGCGAACCGTGGCCTGTCTTTGTCGTCACTCACCGGCTGTTTTTCTATGAAAAATATCGTTTCCCGTGTCCGCGAGCTGAATTTTTATTTTGATTTTAATAGCTCGGCGTAGGTACCTACGATTTTATTCTCTGAGGAACGACGAGTAGAAATTCGCCCAATGTCATCCAACGTTACTGTTAAATTTAGATATACCCGATATAAACGGGGGATATTTTTTTTTTATGCTAACAATCTAGGTATATAATATACATTTTCAATTGGTCTACTGACCGATTCATTATCACCCGACCCAAACCACCAAAACTCGAGTTTATATTTCATACAACGATAATATATAGGCAACTGTATACTATATAGACATATAGTATAAAAACTATAAAGGATTTTTAAAAATTCGACCACCAATGACCGGTTCTCGTACATACATTTTATTCCTTAAAATACGGAAATTGCGATTTTTTTTTTTTGTTTACTTCTGGATTCCATTGTCTATGCATATGAGAAGAAAACTGTACTACTCTCATTTAGTTTCATTTTTTAATTTGAATGTCATAGAATAATCTACGGACACGCAATTCGTCACTGGCAAGGCCGTTGCCTTCAAACCTTATCTATATAAGCAAACTACTTTGGAAAATTTCGATGGTCCTGCAAGAAACGAACGGTTAGTAGTGTTATTACTCCGAAAAACTATGGCGACATTAACATATATGTTGTAAAATACAGAAATGTATATTATTTTTTTATCTAATTTCTCTCGGTGTTACACGAGAGAAACAATTAAATTAAATTTATAATATAATATTGAAAACGTATACATTTATCTAAACAGAAAGTTCGATCTCTATTGTCTGGGGTTTACTTCGAAAATATCTGCTCGATTTGCGTCCTTACTAATTATATTTATGATAATATTTTAAATGTGTTAGAAATTATTGTAATACATATTAGATTTATGAGTTTTAAATTTAATTACAGAAACGTTTGGCAAGTGATGTTAAAGAGCGTTTTCACCATGGGCAAAAATGTCCGGTCGTCGAAGAACCCAAATCAGCGGATTCTTCAGGCGATCAAGTTTGTGATCAAACTCCGGGTTCTTTGACGGCCGACCTCGTTCCACCGCCGTTCACCCTTTACGTTGCGTCTCCACAACCAGGAGGTAATACCGCCCGGGCAATCGGTAAGTATACATTCTAGGATAGATTTCTGTATAAACTCTGACAAATTTATTAGAAGGTTGGTAGCTGCCTCCTTATAAATTATTGTTGATTTGATGTAGAAGAAACCTGCATGAGAAGCATAATTCGAGTAGTCAATTTGACAACCAGAAGTGCGCAACCCATCGAATAAGTTCTAAACTATTTTCAGTTTTATTTTATTTGGTTTAAATTTGGCAGAGATAATACTATCGATATTCGTTGCATGCATTTTTTTTTCATCTTGTTACAATTAAATTTATTTTCACTACTTTTGATCAATATTTAATAATTTATCATTAAAAAAAAATGTATATGTTACGAGACCATAGTTATGTAATTTAAAAAAATTAAATTATTTTACATTTCGCAGCAAATGTATAGGTATATTTATTATCATTTGCTTGATCAGTTGGATTGGTGGCATAGTAATTATTATTCAAAATTAGAGGGGAACTTTTTGGGGAGCTTATAGTCCAAGGAATAATACTGTAAGTGGTTTTCTAAGGTTTTAGTATAAATAGTTACTCTTATAAGTTAGATTGTATAATATGTTTTTTTTTTTAGCAATTTACCAGACGATTGGAAGCCGGGGGCTAGTATGGTTTTAAACCATTTAAAATATTATGTTATTTATGTAAACTTCGCCCAATCCGCATTAAACAAATTTAAAAAAGATTTACCGCGAAGATATTCACATCTGATCCAGGTATGTTGAAAAAAAAAATTACTTTTATTTAATACTTGTACAATTTCTTAGAATAATTAATCGAATTAATATCCGATTCATAAATTTAACAATAATAATATAGTAGGTAATGAAGAAGCCAATAGGTATCGTAAAGTATCATTTTCATATCAGAAACTCTCGATACTTGGAAAACTCAAATAAATATTACTTACCGATCACTATCGCCATATTATGTTCTTAACATATGGTGGTAATACATGAACAGTAGAAGAAAACTGTGAGATTTTGGCACGACAAAATGATTTTCGTGATAACCTTTTACTAATATTAATATATTACTTTAATATATAATTTGCTACTGCAAAATATATATCTCAGGAGATTACAGGCATTGGTTCTTGTGAATTTTTACGATATTATAAATACCAAACATATTTACCTATTTAATAACTTTATTATAGGTAGGTAACAATAGGCAATAAAATTTCAAAAATAAAATGATTTAACAATAAATAAATCACCATCATTTGTTGGTGAAACTATACTTATCGTCTCACAAAAGACATTATTATAACCAAACGTACCTATTATTTAATTTACTTACTTATTTTTTTAGGAAATAGTCGATAAGCCACGGACAACCAAACGAAAAAAGAAGCCTACTACTACTACTACCTTCCCACAATATGCTTATAGCTATAAGTATTTGTGAAATAACGTTTATACGTTATTTTTCTTTAAATTATTGTTCGTTTATTTGATTACTTTATTTGTTACATTTTTATACCTTTGCTGCTACTATAGTCAAACGTATAACGAAAATTTAAATCATGAGTATCATAATATAGATATATTATTTTTATTATTTAATTACATTTTGTGTTACTTTATGTCTTTGTTAATAAACTTATTAAATATTTGAACAAACATCTATTCGTGCATTAATTTTTGGAAATGTTTTGATTGATTCAAATACTAAAATAATGCTAAAAAGTAGGATTCATTAAACTACAATGTAGCTGCTACACAATATCGACATTGACGTAAAAAACCTCATATGTGCTGGAACTTATTTTTTCAAGAAACACGAATAACGTTTTAAAAAAATCAAAAATTGTCAACGATTGACCAAAATAAATTATTACCATTAAACTATTTTTTCTGAAAAAAATTGAAGTAAAAATCTTAATAGTTATGGATAATATTATATTATATAAATTGCCAATATTTCATCATATAGGGCGGCAATTTGGAATACTGCACGGTTTTTAAAAAATATGAATAAAAATAATTATTTTATTTATTGTATAATATATGTGGTGGTTAAAAATGTTTGGCAGTGGAAGGTGAAATTCATAACAGGGCCAGCTATTTGATAGTCGATTGCCGCGTTATTTTTAAATTACCGCGCTCTTTTAGTCACACGTTTAGGAAACCCTCACGAAAATCTGCCAGATACCGGAAGCGCCACTGCGAAGTCGCTAGTTTCGTGAAACGTACTGTAGAGATAGTATAGGTATAGCATTACACTATATAGTATTTATTGTTAATTTTGTTTTTACAACCTAACCTGGGTACAAAAGACTAAGCACTGACGGCTTTTAACTATTACTGTATCAATATTAAAATGGGATTCAGTTATCAGTAAAAACTTATACACTCACAAATATTATAATAATGATGATAAACTTCAATGATATTTTAATTTTCCCAATTATTTGAACAAATATTTTATTATTAGAACGGCAGACAATCACCACGCAGACACAATAAGCTTTCCCTTGTACTCACTACTCATTGTCTATAATAATGTACTCCCACTGACATTTATGGATGGGTTTTTTCACGCCGCGCCTGTGCATATACCTATCTATCCATATGAAATCAATACTATTACAATTAAAAATAAAATAGCAAATTATTATTATTATTATTATTATTATTATTATTATTATTATTATTATTATTATTATTATTATTATTATACAGTCATTATTCCTGAATCATAAGTAATGTCAAAAATAAATTTCTTTTAAAATATTATTTTTTTCTTATGAAATATATTCAATTCAATCAGAGTTTATGAAACCTTGAAAATATACGCCATGGAAATCTATACGTCCGTGGATAAATCCCCGCCTTCCCCCCCTGGATCCGACCATGGGTCTGACCTTGAATATGATTCAGTTGCTTGAAACCCTACGCAACTTGGTTTTACCTTTTAATTTAAAATTGAAAAAGTGCAACGACGTTTTCCTCGCATGGTATTACATAAAGATTAATTTGGCCGGTTACCCTACTTTTGAAGTTGAACGTCAGTGCAACATAAACTATTTGCAATCTGGACGCCATTTTATTGATATACTTTTTGTGTATACTCTTGAACGATTCCATAGACTGTCCCGGTTTATTACAGAAAATATATTATAACGTACCACAAGTAAATACTCATCGTTTTCGTTGTTTCTATATTAAACCTTACTAAAAAAATTTTTTTCTAAGCAGTCCTTTATATCGGATCTTGAACTCCTGTAACGGACATGTCATGACTAATATTAACATTAATGGATATTTTAATAATTTATCAAACCATATATATACTCAATCTCCGATTAATAACCATTATTGTTATTATTAATTAAAGTAATATTGGAACAATATTTAACTACTCGGGTACATCACTATAGTAAAGAACTCAGAAAGCCGACAAATATAATTCGATCACAATTCAAACATCAATAAGTTCAATTAAATTTAATCTATAACTCGTACCATATCTATTTTTTAAAAACTGGTATTATTTTGCAAACAAACCAATTAATATATAATTAATATAATACTTATTATTATTTTCAATTTTGTATTATTAATGTTTTACATTTGTAGAATAAAAAAATTACAATATATTCTATTCCATGATATGGTTCTCCAATATATCCATCTCTCTTATTCAATGCCTACCTATCAGGCGACAGGCAATGGAGAGTTGAATGCGCGATTCATAGTTATTAGGTCTATGGTTGTGATATTAAATTCGGTATTTTTTCTTTTTAATATTTGATGTTGGTAACAAAACATATTTCTTATCATTAATGAAATAGCCATACGCCGCCTTTTTCTTATTTCATCCGTTCGTGCCTCGTGGTTACCTACCGTTGTCTGGTTTGCCTGTCATAATGAAATAAATCATGTGGTTTGTAGTCTCGTAGAAATACTATATAGAACAGAATTACGCTTTTGAAAATCTTAAAAAATCGTAAGTACCTATTATTAATTATTATTATTATTTATAATTGACGCCTTTTTGCAAGTGGACCCATTTATTAGTTGTTTCTAATAAAGCTAGCTTAATAATGAAAAGTTTATTAGGATATTTGTATATGTTAAGAAAGCATATAACTTGTCAACAATAAATAACTTTTAATGAAATTAGAATATTGTTGTGTTAGAGTTGTTGTCCTACAACTTTTGAAATTTTTCCAATCTAATAGGCAGCAATATTAATATTATAATTAATATTAGAAGTGTAAAATATGATTTATTTATTTGTAATATTATTTCATATTGTTTTAGTAGAAATATTGATATTTTTAAGTCTGAACTTTACTAACAAACTAGATTATAGCATGGAGTTAACCTCAATGCACCAGTTAATAACAAACTTTTTGGTGAAATATGTATTTCTAGTGTTTGCGCTAATATTATAAAAAGTTTAAATGCAATGTACGTTATTTTTATTACATAAATTAATTTCATAAATGTATTGTTAATTTAGATTTAAATAATATAACAATATATATCTACTATACTATCTACCACTTACTATTTATAATTCTTTATTTTTTTTAATATTACTCTAATTACAATTTTTGTTTTATTTTAATTATTTTTAAAGTTGTTAGTTTATATGTATTGTAAATTTAAAATTAATGTTTAAACGACAAATAATTGTTTTTTTTTTATTTAATTTGCTGTGCTCTATAACAAGCTTGCTTTTTGAAGCAGCATCATCCAAAATTCTTTTACCTATAAATTTAGTTATTTTAATGTTTTTGATGTGATAATGAATAAATAATAATATTATTATTATTTTTATTAATTTAAAGTATTCATTACGACTATTGAACAATCTATTTGAATACATAACTGATATGAGCAATGCAGATCTGTGAAAAAAAACCTAACCTTTCACATATGTACAATAAAAGGTGTTTTTAGTTTGTTTATAAATACTTTAAAAAAAAAATCAGTGTGATAAAATAATTTTAGGTAAAACTCAAGTCCCAAAATTTGAAATTGGTTATGCCTATATCTTGCAGTTGCATTAATAATCTATAGCTAGTTGAATCTAAATATAACATTATCAACTACCTTGTAGTAAGGTGCTCCTTAACTAAAACAAAAGTGTGCCTCCCACAAAATCTTTCCAAATAAATAAAAATAAACATACCCAAATTTGGGCATTTTATTTTATATTAACAGGTGCCCTTGGAGCACTTGGTTTTTTTGCACTAAATCATTAAAATAATTAGTAATTTCAAGAAATCTTCAATAACTTTTTTTCAGACATCTAAATCTGTGCAAAACACATGTGCTGTTACACTAGTTTATGTCAAGATTTTTTTTACACCTTCAACAAAAAAAATTTATTTGGCCAATATAATTCGGATCCCATGCATTAATATGTCAATTTTTCCTGTGTATCAAAACTGATTATTAATTATCATGATTAAAATGAGATTTCATAACAAAAGAATTACAAAAATATCGTCTATAATTTAGAAATTGAATTTTAAAAAACAATGTCTTATTAAATAAAATAATAAAATTCTATATTTGATTCTTTAGTTTTGAATGAAGTTTTTTTCCTCAATCGCAGACTTAGGCCAGCACATTGTCTACAAAATATTCAGCTGTTAGGAAAAATTGATCAGTAGTTGCCAATGGCACTAACATTATTTACATACAAATCCATATAATAATGCATGAAATCCAGATTATATTGGATTCATTGATTATTTTAGATTATGATTGTAGTGAAAAATGTACTAATTTTACAAAGATGTTTATTTCTTTTATGTGAAAATTTTCTACCAGGAAGCTTACTCCGATGTATACGATATAGACCCTCCTTTCATGAAATGAAATTTTCTTGGGGAGATGTTAGAAGAAGGTCATTTTTTGATTTTCCTGGCAGTTTTCCCAATAAAAGAGAAAATATACAAAATATATTAGTAAAATTATGATTATTATGATTTCTTTTCTTGTGTGGACCAACTTTTCTACCCGCAATTTTGCTCTAATTTATAATACCACGTTTTCTGAAAGGAAATCTGACTGGGAAGGTACTTTATATAGATCATTTTTCGATTTTTCCTAGAGTTTCTCAGCAAATGTGAAAAACTTAGAAAAATCAATCAATACAATATTAAACAAATATTATCAAAGAAAACATAATTTCTATTTAATTATTTTACCATAATATAACATATATATTGTTTACAAATCATCACTTTCAACTGAACTCCACTCAGAATCGTTATTAGTAAGCAGTGGGTTTATCTTTGCTTACAGATAAATAAAGGGAAAATTAATTTCCCCTCTATATCCTATCCTCCCAACTTCTCACCAACAGTGACCTACCATCATACATCATGTGAAGTATGTCAGTTTTTTTTTTTTTTTTATATATAACTGAATAATTTTTGTTCTTAACAGGTTAGGTTGCATGAAAAAATGTTGACTAACAATATATGTTTTTTGTACAGTATTCAATTTTTTTCAGCAGTTTTTAGACATCTGGGAATAAAGTTATTGAATATTTCTTAAAATTCCCTATTATTTTAATTCAAAAACTAAGTGCTTGGTAATGTCCTCTAATATTAAGATAAAATGCCCAAATTTGGACTTATTGTTTTTTTACCTATTTAGAAAATAGTTTTACAATGCATAATTGTTTTGTTAATTAATGACCATCTTAACCTATTTATTAATATATGATGATAACTAATAAAGGTTCAGTCTCGATCATAATTGACTTAAATAAATATAAAAATGTATATATTTAATAGGTACCCTTTATATTTTGTTTCAAAATGTACCTTTATACTATTAATTAAATTGATTTTAGATGTCATGGCGGTGGAGCCCTCACACACCGTGGGGTACTCCTACTCCTAGGCAGTGTCATCCATGGGGTCTTCCCACACAGTATCAACCATGGCGTCTTTCCACACAGTATCATCCATGGCGTCTTTCCACACAGAGCCGCCCCCCAACAAACATGGCATCTGCTCCGAGAACATTTCATGACAGTAAGTTGAAAAAAATATTTTATAAAAAAAAAGGGGGGGTTCATCTATAGTTTACAATTATTATTTAAACATTTTTTTTCAGTTTGTTATTTTTATTATATATTTAACAGATATATATATATAAAGAACATTATATTAGCAAGTTCTGTCTCCATCTTATAACCATACAGCAAAGGAAATTAGTATTCAGTATGGACAACTCTGTGCTGCTAGCTTTAATATTAAGAGTGAATTGACATTTTTTATCAAACTTAAAGGTAAGAATATTATCTGTGTCATGTTGTCATTTTTTTGGAAAATTTAATTTTTAAGAGAGATAGGAAATTTTAAATTGTAATATTTCACATACTCATACATCACTTAAAAATTAAAGTCGCAAAAATGATTATGACACTACAGATAATATTGTTATTTTCAAGTTAGATAATAAGGTCAATTCTTTCTTAATATTAAAACTAATGGCACAGAGTTTTCCCTGCTGAACGAAAATTTGGTATCACACAGTTATAAGACAGAGACAGCACATGCGAGTTTAACGTCCTCTTTAGTTACATGTCTGTCTAACCATTATTTACAGTCTTTTTAATGCCCAGTTATTTGACCGACATACCAAATAAATTTTAATAAACAACCTTGTTACAAACCATTTTGTAAAAAATACATTCCCAGCTTGCTTTTATATGAATAATATAAAACTAGTACATGCATGTGTTATCATTTCTAGTTTTTTTTTTTATTGAATATATTGTACCCTTAGAACAAGACCGAGCCTCTTATTTAAATTTTTATTTTGTAACATTATATTATGTTATGTTCTTTAATAAAACATTGGCTTTAACAGCCAAATAATAATGGTGTATTTGGACAAACCATTAATATTTACTGGTGTAATTTTGTTGAAGGATGTTCTTTTTGCAACAGTGTGGGACACTCCCAAAAGAATTGTTTTTTTTTTAAAAATAAAAAGAAAGAGGAAATGGATAAAAAGGAGAAGGAAGAGAAGAAAATGAAGAAAGAAAAAAAGGAGAAGGAAGAGAAGAAGAGGAAGGAAAAGGAAGAAAAAAAGAAAAAGATGACAAGTAGCGGTAGTGGTTCAAATAAATTTTATTAACATATAATATTATCAAATTATTATACTGCTAATATTAATTTTGTTTTTATTTTTTTTCTTCATAATATATGTGACTATAAAATCTTACTGACCCAACATATTGCTTTCCACTCTTCTCTATTCATTGCTAATTCCTGCCAATTCTCACCCATAGTATCATATATGATAATAGTATTATATCTGTTGAAGTCCCATCAAATTTAGTTAAAAAAACATTTGGCTCCTATATCAGCAATTAATTCAAATCATTTGGTTAATAAATTTGCTCTCCTATAGATTTCTTGTTAAATTATGTACTAAAAAATAACATGGAAGAAGTGTCTAGTACCCATTCATAGAAACTGCAAGAAATACCAATGCATTGATTAATGGGACCTGTGCTCAAATCAACACCTCCATAGAATGTTTTTTCTGAAAACTTATTTTTTTGACGCCGCATTGAAAGCATTTGAATTTTTTTTAGGAAACTTAATAATTTTTCTCAAAAAACTGTTGATACACATAACTAAGCATTTAACTACCTACATAAACCTACTTTGCGAGCTCATGTTGGACTTGTACAAATTTAAATCCATTACCTTATGTTAGTCAAGTATACGCTTTAAAAAAATGTAAGTGGGTGACTTCGTCCGAATGTATGTATGTAACCTAAACTAATAAAACGGTGCATCTATGAATTCGTTAGAGCTTTTTTTTTCAATAAATCGTCAGCAGTGGGAGATAATTCGTTAGGATTTCACAAGTGTTAGGGTGCATTCTCACGGCGTGTGGGACGGTATAACTCTGTACAACAAACGCGCTATAGGATGGGTATGGTGCGGCTGGTCCAATCTCGATGAAAATCGGTGTTTATGTCCCGCGCCAAAAAAAAATCGGCACGGTGCAGCTTGTTCATTTTTATCACAGACAAAATATTATTTATTTTTACCCAATTAATCCGTGACATAAAAATAGTAACCATGTTTAATAGTTCATGGCAAAGGATTGCTAATAACTTCAGCATACAATTCAAGAAATGAAAAATAAAAAGACTGGTTCAGGTACAGCGGAAGTAAGTATATAAACCCAACTGTTTTACCTATAAAATAATGGCGAAATTGAGACGTTCCGGTTCGGTCGGCCTTGTTTGAGAGAACCGACCCGAGCGCCCAGCTGACTACCCGCCTAGGACCGAGGTCCAAAAACCGGAGTCCTAGGATTTTTGTGAGGATGGAAGGGAAATATGAGAATCTAAATAAATAAACACGTGTTTTCTTTTGGGAAAAATATAGAATTATTTTATTAACTTATCAATCAAAAAGTAAAAATTAAGTTAATGCGACAGAAAAGCACAAGGGCATAAAAACTGTCACCTGAGAGAAAATAGATAATAGGTACAATTCTGACATTGATATATATATATATATATATAGGGTTATAGACAAATATCTTCAAACAATTTATATTTAAAAATACATTTACATTAACTGGGGCGTCAACCAGTCTTAAAATTGTTGTCTGGACGCAGGTAGTGACCGAACGGGAGCGTGCAGGCCGGGACTCATTAATATTTATTGATAATGACGAATCCACATCCACGTGTGTGTACTGACCGATATGGGTATAGACCTAGACGGACCCCCACATGGAACTTTCGTGGGCACCTTAGGTATTGAGGAGACCCCGGCAGGAATGTGCGGTTGCCAGGTCACACAAAATACCACCGAGAAGGAAACGCTTTTTATTCCATGTTGACTTGTCCGTAGTTTTGGTGGCCCTACGAGTGAACCTGCGGGGAGCGTCGGAATATGTATCGCGAAGTGGAGAAGATCGATCTATATATATATATATATTTCTTTTTTAGATACTCACAAACGTGGTTGCGAAAATTAGCACTTAAAGGGAATAGAAAATAAAAAACAAAAAACAAAATGCGGGGGTTTGGCCTATCGCGCATAGAATATAGAACGCGGGGATTAGTACATTGAGACGAACAAACAAATCTAACTGGTTGATTCCGGTAAGTATACCGGAAGAATTTAACATACGAGAAAAAAAAAACATTTTAGATGAAAAATTTTATACGGGGGGGGGGGATCTTAATGAACCACCTTAAAAACCAACTTACTAACGGGGTATCGGCCAATTATTAAATCACATACATATTACCATTCGTCTCGTCCGAAGATGTCCGCCAGCAAACCAGTTCAGAACTTACTTCATTTGTTCGCTTGAGGCACAATCATGAAACATGCCAAGGTGCACGACCTTTTCTTGATGGCAAAATATGTGAATCCGTGCAATATACGGGAGTGTTTTATTAAGAGAACTGTATCGAAAGACCGTTTGGCGACAAAATTTTAAGACGAGGTATAGGAACGAAGAAGGAAAAGAACGAACAAAACAAGAGAAACTAGGTAGCGGAGCGCGGAGATGTTCGTGGCACACGTCGCCTCGGGCCGACGTTTTTAGCGATAAGGGGAAACGTGATCTGATTGGCAGTTAACCCGTTGTTAGGAATATAATATTATTGTGAATTGCAAAAGATGGGGATCGCATAAATGTTTGCGGGGGGGGGGAATTATTGTTTATGATGACATAACATATCCGCCGACGCGGGCGTAATCTGTTAACCGGTCTATCTTATCGATTTTAGGTGTGCTTGTCCTTTAATAACGGAAAAATTATCGTTTTTGGACGTTACAAAGTTTTTGTGCGGAGTTTTCTAACCAAGCGTTACACAAAACACAGAGGTTAGTCTAAACAGCAAATAATTATTATATAGTTGTTAAATGCTTCTTAATTAATTTAATAGTATGATGTAATCATAAGTGTGCGCACGGGGAAGGCAAAAGAGGCGGCTGCCTCCCATGTGAGATTTTTCGCCAAATATTTTTAAAAAAAATTCTGACGTTCTGAGTGGAGCGAATGAAAAATATGATTTTTTTTTTTTTCTGTGGACAACTTTTCTACCACTAATTTTGCTCCGATTTTCAATGATAGCACTTTTTCTAAAAGGAAATCAGACTGAGGAGGCACTTTGGGAAGATCGTTTATTGATTTTTCCAATAAATGGTAAAAACAGGTAAATGTACGAAATGTAATAGGTTTGTTCCAACACGAAATTTGGGATTATACGCCGCGCCACGAGAGAAGTAAAGGTAAACCATTCGCGCATACCGACTAACGGCAACGAGGCCTCGTTTCCCCCCCCCCTTTGTGTCGTTCAGTATTTCAAATAGATGTGGATGCCCGGAATCGAACGCGTTTCGGTCGGGACACGATTTACTTCTCTCGTGGCGCGAAGTATAGTTGTGGACCGATCTGTGATTGATTTACTGTGCATGCGCTGTTCATGGAATCGGAGTTTTGTGGGAAAGTGTTTGGAACGCGTTTCAGACCTACTCTCGGATTGTCCGTGTTTGTAGAATATAGATAAGATAATATAAAACCTAATGATAATGAATTTTGCGTCTTGTAACAGAAAATTTGTTATACGTGTGTTTTAAACTTTAAATTTTTTATTTAAACGGTGGTTGAAGTATGGCCTTTTGTGTGTAGAAAAAATACGCGAAGTCCATATCACTGTGTAATAGTGTAGAGAACAAGGTATCACCGCATGCTATCGTTGGCCCACGTTGGTAACGTTGGTTACCAACGTACGTAACTTATATTGTACTAAACTTTAACGCCTTAATAACGTAAATACATCTCGACTGTGTTAAAATAATATTATTAATCGTTAGGTATCAAAAGATTGCGGCTATTTGAAAAATATGATTATGAACGTGTATACATAGTATGCATTTATAAAATCAAACCAAATAAAAAATATGTATCTTGTTAGTATAGGTACAACTCGGCGGATTTTTACGGTCCTAGAATAAAAGACCGTGGTCTGATTTTCGATTTTTCCCATTTTCTGACCGATTTTCACGGACGGGTATGGCTTTTGGGTGTGGAAAAGAATGTCGAAATATCGAAAAACACAAGAGAGATTTTTTATTCGTTTACCGTCCTAGAATAAAAGCTCGTGGTCGGATATTCGTTTAAATTTATTTTCCCTGAGAAGGGCCGTTTTAACGCTGTTGTCCCTGAATAGGATCATTTAGCAATTTTGTTCTGAAAAGAGCAGTTTTAACGTGTTTGATTCTGAAAAAAAATATTTACTATATGTTACCTAGCACTAGGAGCATTGCAGGCATTCATCTGTCATTTATCCCTTACCATTGGGTTGTCTCCAATACCTAAATATGCTCGTGTAATATCGTTTATAAATCTGCAAAGTTTGTCATGTGTACTATCCACTATGCTACAGTATATTCATTCGATAAACCCACTCGCCGATATAAAACACACGTTTTGAGTTACAACATACTAACTAATTCGTTTTAACTCATTATCTCGAAAATATTCACTTATTAAAAAAATTGTATAGACAATTTTAGAAACAACTAGCTCCAAAATGTTATATCCTCGTTATTTTCGGGGACGAAACGACCACTTACTTTTGATTTTCAAATAGCAACTTTTATTAAAAATACCATAAATAGACGGAGTGTTAGTTGAAAAATATTTTAATGTTTAAATTTTTCAATTCCATCAATCCGTTGATGATCAACTTTTAAGTTTACGCGGTGGGATGGGGGCGAGTGGTGGAATTTATGCGGCAGCACGACGCGCGGCTCTCCTTATCTTGATTATATCTTATCGTTAATTTATTATCATGTCTAATATTTTTTCGGACGTAAAACATATTTATGTTACAAATACATATTATTATTATTATAATTAAATCTAAACCTATAATTTAGAAGAAACAGAAAAAATCATTGATTAAAATTAACAACCAAGAGAATATACTAGATACTGATTTTTTTTTTTTTTGGTATCTTATACTATAAGACACCTTACTTTATATCAACATTTATCTTGTTTGATTAGAGCAAATCTTCTGGTTAAAATTGTGTTAATAGCTAGAAAAATAAAAAGCACACAACAATAATGGTCATAATGGTCTAAAGTTCACAAAGTATTCAGTTGACCATTCTGACTACTCTGACACATTTATGTTTATAAATAAATGTTAAGTTAAAAATTGACCGGAATAAGTGGTAGTTGTTGCTACCAAGTAACACTTTTTAAAAAATAAATTTTCATTGTTATTACAGTCACTTTATAGGGTGTTACCACTAATCTAATTATTCATGTTATCTACTTTTATTTATACTTATCAAACCTACTTATTGTACAAAAAAATGTATAGATTGTAGATTTATTTCAATGAAAAAATACAAAAAAAATACAAAATTAGCGAATGATTTTTTTTTACTTCTTGAAAATTATGAAGATGTCAATAGGTTGTAAGTTTTGCTATACTGTAATTTACTGGCATTACCTAATTGATTTTAAAAGACTAATATTTGTGTACATTATAATAATTAATAAATTATTTATCTTAAACTGCATATAAAATAAATGGATCAGTCATATTGTTTTAATGGCTAGTATAATATATTTAAATTAATTATTTTAAAAGAAATGAACAATAAATAATTGAAACAATTTTAATCTAATCTAATAATAATTGTTCAGGGATTTATTTATATAAAAAGTAATTTTTAGATATTAAAATTTTGTTTTAGTTAGTTATTATTATTTTTGTTCAAAGGTGATTAAGTATTTATTATTAGATCATTATTAAATTTATTTTTATTTTTATGTCAGAAAAAAACAAAATATTATAATTATTACATTAAAGAGTAACTACTAAATGAATATAATAATTTTATGTTAACTTTACTCTTGAAAACAGGTATACAAAAAGAAAATTATTTATTATAATAAATTAAGTAACCATAAATATTAACATTCACGTATTGCACTAATCTCTTAATTATTGCTATTTACTAAATATAGATAAATATAATAATTTAACTATAGGTATATACCGTAATTATTAATACATAAACATTTATGTATGCCAATATTTTATCAACTAATTTTAATACTTTATAAAATAAATTATTAACCTAATTTAATACTTTATTACAGTAATTTTTTAAAACATTAGTAATAATGTTTAAAGACCACTGAACAAATTAAGCTGTATCATGAATGTAATTGAATTGATCACCAAATTTATCTCGAAATTTGCGTTGGTCCATACCATCTAAAATTTTAGCCACTTTCTTCACAGATGACCTGAAAACAAAGTCTAAATTATTTTACAACACTTTTACAAGTGTAAAAAATTACACTTTACTACAATATATGAAAAAATTGTATGGTCAAAATATTAATTGTTTAGAACTTTTGTCCCTAGTTTCAAATTAAATAATCACATGAAAACAAACATTTTATTCTCAGATAATGAGTAATGTTAAATAGTTTGACAATAATAATTTTATATTTATAAGTTAAATACTTATGTGGTTATATTTTAATTTGTTGGTAATAAAATACTCTGATATACCCAAAGTTAGCTCTAACTAGTGAAACTAAACTGAGATTAACTATTGTATAAAACCAAAGAGCTAATGTGCAGGTCTCCAAAAATATTATTATCCATTATTTTATCTTTTGATGAATGACAACAGTGTATTTTACTATAATCATATAATATGTACAGGATGATTCAAAATTTATGTTACTGCCATTTTATCATGTAAATATTCAAAATAGAGAAAAATGTACTGCTTATACAAAGCTGTTTATTTTTTTCTCCTGTGAACAACTTTTCTACCAGAAATTTTGATCTGATTTACAATGATAGCACTTTTTCTGAAAAGATATCTGACTATGATGGTATTTTAGGGAGGTAATTTTTTGATTTTTCTCAATAAATAGGAAAAACCTAGTGAAAACCGGGAAAATAGATACAATATTAAAAAATATTATTAAAAAAAACATATAATGCATATATAATTATTATAGAGAATACATAATTATTTTATCATAATGTAATACATATATTGTTAACAAAACAACAAGCAAACTCAGAGTCGTTTTTCGTTAACAATGGTTAATTGTTGCATACATATATACATTAAATTTCTCCTCTACCTTCCTAACTTCTCACTTTAACAGTGGCCCACCCAAGTGCGAAGTATGTCTGTTTTTTTAAACTGTTTTTTGATGGGGTTAACTTTTGAAATTCAAATCAGAATCTACAGGGCGATTCAAAATTTATGTTATATCCACATTTTAGTTTAGGTAGAGGAAGAGTATTGGAACACTATATGAAACACGGCACACTTATAACAGTATGCCGTACTGTGCCACAAGCGCATAGTGTTCCATCACACTCCCCATCTAAAATGGCTGTGATATAAATTTTGAATTTAATCAAATTATAATATTTGTTTAAAGAAAATGGACATTGTATATGTAGTAGTTTATTAAGAAGTAGATTTTAAATAGAAATTAAATATGCAAAATTAGTAACCTTAGAATTTATTATTAATTGATATACTATTGTAGTATGACGCAGCCTTATAAAATAAAGAAGGTTTTATTGTTTATCAAGTTGATTGGAAATAAGAGTGTTATTAATCATTGTCATTATGTGTTCATAGGTAATAAACTAACAATCGATAGTGATCAGTAAATTAAGTAGACAAACAATAAATAATTTCTTTATAGACCAGTTATAATGATGTGTTTTTTTTTTAAAAGTATGACATCAATCTTTTTTTGAGCTTGACCATTTTTTGCCTTTTAATATTTAATTATACAACATCATTATTGTAAATGTATTAACACCTTACTATAAAATAGGCTTTATAATGGAAACTTAACATAAACAGATAATCATTTATTTTTGAATTTTATACTTCACACTGTAAAACATAATAATAGTAATGCAATTTATACTGTGTGACATTGATTTCAGGACAAGTAATTGGCAAGTATATCTATTTATGAATACATCTATTTTCAAAAAAATCTACTATCTTTTAGTCTAAAATATTAACATCTAGTTCAAAAAATAAATATTGTTTCTAATATGTATCTATTTTGAGTAGCTATTAATTGAGATACTGTTTTTCTAATTTCAATTTCAGCTGGGTTTCCAATATGAGAGGAAATTCCTATAAAAAGTAATAATTTCTTGCTTTAATTTAATATTAATTATATGCATGTTATTTTACAAATATTTCTTAATTAATATCTACAATATCATTGCTGTGCATTTTTGCTAGTTTTTTCGGAAATTGTAAATGCAATTGATGGCAATCAAAATATTGTGATGTTAATTGAATTTTAAAATGGAAGACTATAATATAACATATAAATATCTGTAAATTAAATAACTAACTAAATATTTATCGAGAGTCCCCAACTAAAATAATGCTATTTTTCATAACAACTAAATCATTAATAACATCATTATTAGTATTAAATAAGAGATATAATAATAAGTTTAATTATAATTATACATTTTAAACTAACTTTTTGTTTAAAATAAAAATAGTGAACCATTAAAATGGTAGGCTGTAAAAAAAATGTTGGCGTTTAAATAAATAGAAAGTATTTTAATTATCATTACTGCTGTCTACATTCATGTATGAAGACATTTTGGAAGTATACCATTTATCCATGTATCAATAGTAATATTCAGGCTCACTTTTTAAACACTTTTTTTTCTAGTCGAGCACGAGGAGTATCCATTTCTTTTTTTAAATCTGTCAAATTTGATTGTTTTTTATTTTTCTTTCTGCTTCCTTTTTTGGGTATTGTAAGATCAACTCCAGTTTGATGCTATACAAAAAACAAAATATTTATTAATAAAAATGTTTTTTAAGTCAAAACCACAAAATATATTATACCTGTATATCTCTAAGTAGCTGTGGATCTTGCCAATCTGGTATACTTTGTTTTTTTTCTTTCTCCAAAATGTTTTCATCTTCAGGATTAATTACTTTACCAAGCTCATCTCTTGGTACAATACGTCCATGAAATGGACACTATAAAAATATACATGTATGTATTATTTGTAATTTAAATAAGCATAATTGTCTAACTTACCTTAAAACGGTCTTCTCTTGGACACAATTTTCCACTTGGCAATGGAGTTCTACACTGTCTATCAATTTTTTCAAATTTACCAGTGAATTCAATAACTCGTGTACGTAAATTTGCTGAACCTCCTGGCAGTATGATTCCATCACAGTCAGTGTCCATTACAGAATTTGAAGACCAAAAGCTATGTCCATCTTGATTCGTCCTGGAAAAATGTTTTACCATATTACCTGTTGTTTAATATTATATATGTAAATAAATGTACCTATATACAAAAAGGGTTAAATATGAGTTGTATAATTAATCAAAAATGATTATCCAAGAATAAATTCTGGTCAATGTTTACCACAAAAGTAAAATAATTTTATGTTTATATATTATTTTATAATAAATCATTTATTGTTCAATTATTAATAATACATTCTTAAGGGGATATTGACTTACCTACTGAAAAGTTCATTTTTTTTTTTTTTTTTTTTTAAATAATTGAATTAATAATGGACTAATAGGTTATGGTATAACTTGAGAATATTATTCTCCATAGAAAAACAAGTGTATAAGTGCGTGATTGTGATTAATAATTTGACACAAATGAATACAATATTATATTAATAAGCTCCAATAAATATGAATGATAAATAAAATGATTAATTTATGTATTTAATGTTTTACAATATTTTAGGAATATGGACTGTAAATATAATATAATATAAGTAGGTAAGTAAAATCTTAATAAAATTATGAAAAATATTTGAATTTATATTACGCATAAAATATCAAGTAGGTACTTATAATTATAAATCTATTTTTAGGGATGGCATAGTTGTTTAATTGGCAAACAATGTAATAAAATAAAATCAACAATTAAATACTAAAAACTGTTTGAAGAAAGACAAGAGGATAAAAATACACACTATGTTAATATTAAAAATCAACGACCTTGCTTCAAACCAATATGACTTGAAGTTGCACGTGTGTGTATTTAATGATGCAAAAAACATTCAAAACACAGCTATACATCTTAAACAGTGACTGCAGATAATGTACATAATATAGGTGTTATAAATAGCACATATAGCAGTGAAATAATATGTGTACATTTATCTTAACTTCATCTAAACGGTCGGGGTGATTAAAAACCACTCGTTTCTTGCACAGACGTGTACATTAATTATAAGCATTAACGCGATCTGATTATAATAATAATTATAACGTCTTCTGTTTTAAAGTAACGCATAGAATTATTTCTTTATAATATGATTTACATCAAGTAGGATAATACATTTTCTTCTGAAACTTATAGATATTATAGATGTTATTTTTTCTTATTGATAGGTGTTGATAAAATTACGACGGCCGTCTATTTCAAGTTAACTCGGGAAAAAAAAAAGAAAAAAAAAATACTACTCACGGTAAAATACGAGGTGCTGCTAGGTGGTCGTCTTCCCAGTGATAAAGATCGATGTCGAATGGTAACTTTGGCACTTCGGCAACTTTGTCAGCCGTGGGGTTTTTCGCTCTCTCAAAACTACCGCCGATACTATCACCATTGTCGCCTATTTGAGTCTAAAAATAATTAGTTAATTATATTATGTAATACACCTAGTATTAAGATACTTTTTATTACGGTATTAAGTATATTTTTGCGTTGTAAGATACAAGATGCTTAAATATTTTATGGCATAATTAAAATAATGAAAACTAAAAACGTTTTTCGTGTGCAAAATATTTGAATAATTAGTTTTTTAAAAGCACAAGTAAAAATGTATCAGTATAAATAACATTTAATAAACATCTAAATTGATGTTATTTAGATTAATGATGTTTAGTGAAAAATGTTTACTTGTATTTATTATTACATTTCATATTAAACCTTTTAATCTTTTAAAAATTGAAAGTATCCTGTATCAAAATATGTAGGTACCTACATAAAACAAATATCATGTAATATCAAAATACTTTTCTTAGTATCTTGCCCAATTCTGGATATAGGTAATAAGTAATAACACTAATAACTTATTGTCAATAAAAGGAACGACTATAGAGGAAATATTACTGACATCATCATGATCGGTGGATTTGGATAGACACTGCAACACCAACAAATCGTCTGCGGACGACTGAGGTACGACCTCCATATCCGAATCACTCGAATATTCATCGTCGTCTTCGTAATAAGTGATCTTATTTTCTCGGTTAGTCAGGTCGGTTAAACGCCGTTTGAGCTCGATCGTCCGTTTCAACAATTCTCCTCTATTTGCTGGGAAAATGTTCAATTAAATTCTCAAACGAAGTTGTAGATACTCAAAATCAAAATGTATATATAGAACGATTAGTCCGAGAAAACAACTTTCTAGGGCAGCGGTTCCGAAACTAGGGTGGTCACCCAAATTAAGGTTGCATTGGATGACTTAAATTCCTTCTTCAAGAATTCTTGGAAAAATTATAGTTTAAAGCACAAAACGTAGAACTCAATAAATTCAGTTGGGTGATAAATCCATTTGAAGTTATTTTGCGTATACAATTTGTACACGTTTTTTGAAGTACGAAAAATATGACATGTGTAATGGAAAACGAGATATTATATTGTATCTATGGATAGGTAGAGCCTAGGTGGAGAGGTGGGGTAATAAATCAACAGGATCGCCCCTAAATATTACGTCATCACTGGAAATGAGTCGCTTCGGCAAAAATAATAGAAAAGATAAAAAAAGGTACCTACATTTGGTGTATATGATAATTTATATAATTACTCGAAATCTTCGATATGTCTTGTAACCATTTTTTTATTTTCGGCAAATACTTGTTGGATATAAGTTTCACCTGTTCGTTTGCGTTTTCGATTACGGTTAAGTTGTCTTCAGTTTTTTTCACCCTCATGCGGAAGTCTAAGGGCAGAAAAATAAACGAAACATTATTTAATAAAAAAACATCCCAGACGAAAACAATATTATAATATTAGACATTTGACATTGACAAGTCAAATGACTTGATAAAATAGATACGTAATGATCACAATTATTCACAGTGTGTCACGTTTTCATTCAAGTAATTACATCTCCACACATGGACTTCGTTGCAGTTCTCCACTATTCTATCAGCACTGCTAATATTAGCCAATAAGAAGAGGAGAACTGCGATATTAGGTGAAGTTAAGAAAAATTTTAAATATTTTTAGGTGTACGTAAGTATCAAAAAACTGTACTTATCTATCTATGTACGTATCTATTTTCACATAGTATTAAAGGTACCAGGTTTCAAGGTGACTGTCACCGAGTGTGCGACGGGATCTATTATTCCGGTTTCCCTGCGTCTGTCGTCCTCGTCCGAATCGAATTTCTCCTGTCCCGTCATCGGCAATCCCTCAAAACCGGATAACGCTTCGTCTGCCTCCACTCTCGGTATGGAAAACTCCTCCGGCGTAGGAATTAACAGTTCCAGACAACTATCCAACGTTTTGGCCGCGATCATCATTTCGGGTTCGAATTCTAAATTCATTCACGACAAATAAATTTAATTCGGTATATTACGTATAATAATTATTAAACATAATTCGCTGGTGCTTTATTAAAAAGGCATCTATTCATTTTCACTTTTTTTTAGGAAACATAAAAAACTATTTTGCAAAAAAAACAGCAAAACATTTTTTAACAATGATAAACATCATGGAAAATAATAAAATTACTCGTACATATAATACCTTGTACACAAAGTATACATGCATTGAATGTGATATGCGTATGCCCTTTTAACAAATCAGTGTTGATTTAATTATATTTGAAAAGGACGCCTGGATATATTTTAGTTGACACTACCAACTTAATTTTCTGTATTTAAATACACCCTTTTACTAGTTTATGCTCCTAATTTATCTGAATTTTATAGTGTTATTACGTTCTTTTAAAAAATCATTATCGAATTACATTACATTTAAAGACTTATATCAGTGATGGCATATGGGTAGTTTTTCATATAGGTAAAATAATAAGCTGCCAACATTTATTTTAATTGAGAATATTACCACAACAGATGTGAATTGTTTTCGAAACGGTATTTATGAGACCCAAAGAAAAATTTTTCCAGCCAAACCAACAAATATACAAAAAGTACATGACGTTTTAAGTTTCATTGATATCAAATCAAATGAGGGTGAACAATTTTTACTAATTAACGATGTTAATATAAATAATATTATTCTATTTTCTTATGACAGTAATTTACCATTAATTTAACATTATTAATTTTTTTAAATTTATGTTGATGGAACATTTCGATGCTGTACTAAATACTTTTGTCTATTATTTACGGCCCATGAGTTAAATAATAGTCATTATTGTCCAATTGCGTATTTGTTTATTACCAGATAAACATTTTAAAGCTATCAAAAAGCATTTGAAGGATTAACACAACAATGCGATAAGTATTATTTTAATTTTAAGTCAGAATATTTGTAATTTTGAAATATACATAAGACAATTCGTTTTATTTGGCTATTGGTTACTATAAAAGGTTGTTGATTCCATCTAAGTTAGTCGTGGTGGTGAAAAATACTATCTTTAAGATTAAGCATAGACTATGCAAATAAAGATAACGATATAGGCAAGTTTTTAATATATATATTTGGATTACCGTTTTTAGAACCTGAAATGGTTGGTAAATGTAGCGCAAAAAAATGTTAGCATCTGTTCAACCTTCAACAGCTAAAGTCCAACATTTTTTAACTACTTAGTAGATAATTATATTGATACCGGATCTGATTTTCTACTTGAAATATTGACAACTAATGCATGTGAAAGCTTTCATTCAATTCATTATTTTATACCATACGATTATACGCTATTTTGTGAACCGATGTATCTATCTATCTTGGGACGCAATCAGGATACTTATATTTGTGATAAAATAGGACTACCTAATTGGGATGGCAATCGGGTAAACCCGAGTTGGATGCGATTGAGAATGAGGAAAGCTGCGAGTCGATGTATGCGAGGTGGGTGTATCTGGTCAAGTGTAAATTTAGGACGAGGGTGACCGATTTCCCATCATTTGGGATGAAGGTAAATGAAAATAAGCTTATAATATACAACTAATAAGACGTATACATCAATCCTAATCGTTATTAATTTTTTATCAGCACATATTTGTTTGATTTTGGGCTACTAACAAAAAAAAACCCGTTTTGTTTCAGAGAACTTTTCAATTTTCAAACTAACGTAAGGTATTATATATAACAAGTTTCATTTTATATTATGACATGAATGTGATTGTCTCATTTGTATTTATGATTGACAAAAGTGAGTTTATGTAAATAATAGGACAGACGGAGAAAGGTCACAGTGAGAAAATGATAACAATTATTTTTACTTATTCACAGACCTATTGTTAGTACCTATTAGCTGTTAAAATGTGTTTGTTAGTTATTTAATTATTAACTATTTATATAACCTTAAATTTTAAATAATAATTAGTCCAAAATACCGAGATTAAGTTTAATAAGTATTAAATTTCAAATCTTATGTTATTTTTCTTATCAAAAAATATGTATCCTAATGTTATTTATGGAAAACTGCTTGTAATTTATAAACTTTTATTAAAAATTAAGTTATTTCATGTTTAAAGAAATAAAAAAAAATGTGTATGTTTGATGTTGATTTATTTTAATGTTTCATAGTGTTTTTTTGTCGTGCATAAGCCACAAAGGGTTCGCGACATGAAAGTTTGATATATTTTTTTTAAAAAAAGTTGTAATTTACAAAATAAAGCCAAATTTAAGATCCATCTATTTATATTTAGATACTCAATAATATTCCGAGTATTTCATTTAAATACCATTCAAATTGAATGAATTATTTAAAAAATACTAATAGGTGGCTCACTGTCAACACATTTCCGCTATTTAATATATGTATAGTATATACCAATAATTATTTATATTAATAAAATTACCATTTATGTCAGACTCGATTTTTTTCAATTTTTCCTCGTCGAAACGTCGTCGTCGTTGTTCCCTATCCTCCAAACGTCTTGCTTCGGCCACGGATCGCACGGTCATCGATTCGAAATCAATCTTTTAATATTTGTGATTTTTATATAGTTTAAAAAAACTCCCAAGATATATTATTACAGTCTCACGCCGAATATACTCACTTTTTTATACTTGTTCAAGTATTTAAACACGAAATTGAATTCATCTTTAAAGTCTTTTCCGAACTCGTCATTCCACTCTTTAAAGCATCTAATAGCAAAAAGTTCTAAATCTGCGGCAAACTTCTTCGGTGGAGGTAACGATCGTTCCGTATCAATGTTGACTGTAAGTTTTAGGAGAACCGAGAAATCAACGATCATCAATTTTCTAAAATGTTGAAATTGCCTAAAACAGAAACAGTATACTATTATAGACTGCATAGTGGTATAGTATTGCCACAGATTTAAATACGGAAAACAACAATACAAAAAAAAATATAGAAATATGATGAATTCGTAAACAATTTAAAAAAACAACAATAATAATTAATGTTATACATACTTAAAAAGACGGTTACAAATGCGGAACGCGCTTAAACGTATCTGAGAATGTTTTTCTTTGAGCTGGTGTAATACTAGTGCGTAGACTCTGTCGATGTACACTGGGGATTTTCTAGAAAATTTTCACATTTAAATAAAGTATATTTTAGATAAGTACAATAAATAATAAATTCCATGAACTCGCAATGAAATAAAATTATGTAAATATAACATTTATTTTCATTTCATATATAGATACGTACTTTATCTAAAAAGAAAGGGATTTTCATTTAGGTATTTGTAATAATATAAATAATTAATATTTAACGTTTGAGAAATACCAATTATTCAAACAAAATAAAAAACTCGTTTGATACCTTTTATCCAATTAAATTTTTTTTTTTTAACTGCAAAACTTCATGATTTTACATTTTCTCCTAGAAATCCTGCTTGAATCAAAAAATGATAAGGAACCTTTTTTGTTGCATTTTGGAATTAGTTGCTCACGAAGAAAGTCATTTTTTTTAATTTTCCAAGTAGTTTTCATATGATTTGAAAAAACCCGGAAAACAATGTAAAATGAAAACTGATAAATTTACGGCGTATTTTTAATTTGTACGGCTTATGTTTTCTACCAGAAATATTGCTCCAATAAAAAAAAATAGGGTATATTGTTATTGCATTTATAAATCTAGTTGGTAGATAAGAAAGTTGTTCTTTGATTTTTCGTTTTTTTTTTTTTTAAATTCTGAGCGGAGCAAGGTTTGACAATAATGTTTGTTTTTTATTTTTTTTTCTGTGGATAACTTTTTTACCAGGATTTTGCTTTATAACTATTAACTTATTTAACGCATAATTTATTAGTTGAGTAGGAATATAATAGAAAACATTTTACGTTGCGCCGCTGCGGGACCAAAAACGAGAGACAACTGAGAAAATCATTATTAATTATGTGTAGATGTATTATTATAATTTATGCGGCATTTTTATTCATAATGTCTCTGGTCTCTTATATAAAAAAAAAAATAAAAATATTTCTGCATTTCATGCGTTTGATTTTTGATTATTTAATCGTGTAAACATAATTGGATATCTACGAACGCAGTATGTATATTATGTAGACGCGTCATTGCGAAAAAGATACTGTACCTAGGTAGTTTATTTTTATTTTTTAATATACCTTATTTTATTTCATATCCAGCCGTTAAGTCGGAATAATATATGATTATTACCTTTTAAATAACGCAAATAACGTTTTATAGTCGAAAAAAAATACATCGCACATTTATATAAAAAAGTGCATTACAAAACGCATCTATTATACACATAAAACAGTAAGTATATATCTACTATACATTATATAGACGAGCAGGTACGTACTAGGTATCCTCCTCGTATTTATTTATAGTGAAAAACTCTGAAAATGCCAACACTATTATTGTATAAAATATTGTGTCGTGATGTGTGTACCTATACTCTAGTCACGACGACGATATCCTATCGTAATACCAGACTATATCATTATTATACTGCAGTGTCGTTAAATATGACACTAAACACACTATATATATATATACCGAAACACTGAAAAAAGTGACCTTATAGCGTAGTTTACACATAATATAATATACTATAACGATACGATAATATAATATTTCGGATAATGAGATTTCGTCTCTTCACCCCCCCCCCTCGGTTCACAACTACAAGATAATAATCACAACAGCGCATTTTAACAGGAAATTTATTACGTCTTCGTGGTGGGTTTTAAATCGTTTTTAGTTACTCACAAAAAATCCAACACTATAGTACACAATCTACCTTACCCAAATGGAAAATATTGACGCATCAAAGACAAGATAATGCACTGTCGTTTAGTACCGAAACGAGGACGCGAGGTTTTCGATTCAAATATATGAATGATAATAAATAAAGTCCAATATCGCTGATTGGTGAGCCACTGTTGTAGAAGTTGAAAAGTAGTTAAAAGGGAGGATTACAGAGTAATATAATTTATATCTGGACGCAACGATAAACCATTGCTCACGAAAAATGATTCTGAATAAAGTATTAGTAGTTGTATTTTTACCTTCTTGTCAAAGTAACCCAGAAATCAACAAAAGTTATACACAAAAAGGCCAGTTTTTCCCATTTACTAAGAAAAATAAAAAAAATACCTACTTAATTCACTAATTAGATCAAATATTCAATAAAAAAGTTTTTGATTGGAACGAGATTTCAGATAGAAAAATTGTTTACAGACATAAAAAAACATAACTATCATGGTAAATAAAATCAATACCTACTGGCATGTATCGCTCAAAATCTAATACTGTTTTACAAGAACTAAAATATTATAATACATACTATATGTAATATTTATTTATATTATGGAATCCAGAAATCAGAATATGTATTTCAAAAATATATAGAACCGAAAACTCAGCTAAGAGTGTTAATGGACTTTAATGAACCATGGGAAAGCATATTGTACAATATTACAATTTATATTATTATTAGTTATTATAGGTAGGTATAGATAAAATTCGCCAACATAATAATTTCAAGGCAACGAGAATATTCCCATGGAGATTATTCTTAAGGATAATTAGTATAATGTATAATCATTATAATCTTCTAGAAGTATTTTTTTTAATGTTTTACTTTTTTTAAATTACGTTGTAAGACATTTTTAGTATTGAACACGGTGTTTACAGTTTACCTTTAATACTGCCTTTATATTCAAAATTCAGAATCAAAAAACTGACGCAACTATTGTGATAGTTTTTAAATTTTGTACATGGTTTTAAAACAACTAATTATAAGTTAGAAGCGGATTTAAATGCTCTAAAAGACAAGAAAATACCTTAAAAATACAATTTAATGCACTTGTAAAAAAAAAGGTTAAAAATGCCCTAAAATTGTTTTCAATATTAAAAATTTATATTTTTTTATATTATAATATTAGTGCATATTCCTCCGCTTTTTCACTCGAAAATCAGTTACAAACGAGTCTATACGCAATACTAAACACTAAACACTAAACACAACAGTGCAAAAACCTGAATAGTGCATTATGAATTTATAATAACATTATGACTTCGATAAATATTTTATCGTTTTCTATATATTGCAGCCGGCATCGTATTTATCTGGTACAATCAGTAAAATCATAATATATTTTAAAAATATAAATATAATTTTGTTTTCCTTTAAGAGGAAATCAAAATATATTTTATCAAATTAACCGGTAACACTATAAAGTATATAAAATAAGAAAAAAATGCACCTAAAATGTTTAAAAATAAAAAAGTTCTAAAAATGCAAAGTAAAAACAAATTATGTACTTAGAAAGCATTTTTTTAGGGCATTCCGAAAATATGCAATTTGCATTGAAATCCGCTTCCTAATTATAAGTGATAAATTATAATTACTATTCTTGTTAACAAAAATTAAACATTTTAAATTCCAGTTGGCAAATTTAAAGCCTACACCCCCTCCCATGATTTTTTTTTAAAATCGTCCCTGGTCCTGATGGATTTTTAAATTTAACAGTGAATATTTTTTTATTGGGAACAAAATGCCCGGGCAAAGAAATTACATGTTTTGGTACAGATTCAAAAACTCACCTAAAGTATAGGTATCAAAATTATAAATAATACATTTTTTTTTTTTTGAAGAAAAAACACGCATTCTTTAACCAAATTCAGCTAGGATTATTACTTTGTAATATGAAAAAGTGTTTATTAGAAATGTATGCGGAAATTAAATGATTATTATAATAATTAAAGTCCTATTTGATAAAAATTATTGTAAAAGTGGTTTTAAAACGTTCTCAAACTATCTTAATAATATAGATAAAAATAGATACGGCGAAAATTTTTGGGGAGAACGACTGACGCGACGCCCACATCGTAGACCAAAACCTTTACAGTTTTTTTTTCCTTTTTTTCTCGTGCTTTATCTGAACCCGTCGTGGTTTTTCATCAAGTTCGGGTGATTTCTATTTGCGTCTGTGGCTCGTTTCACGTTGGGAACGTTAATAACCTTACGGGGGGAGGGAAAGGGGGTTGCTGTAAGTATATAAGTACACCTACCCAACATCTACGTGATAAGAGAGCAGCGAACCGTTGGTTAATAAAATGCGACTTTTATAATTTCCGATCGAATCCCCGGCCGAGACGTCGTCGTCGTCGTCGCTGCCGCCGCCCGTATATTATACGGCGACGGCGCACTACGCGCTCGGTTAGAATTTTTCACGCCGATCGATGGGAATAATCGCGCGAATATGTCGCGGTTTTCCAGTAAATCCCACATCCCCGCGAGCCGCCGGTAGGTTTTGCCCGGAAATTAATAATACTCCGTTGGTTTTCTTCAAAGTGCATTTTACCTGTACACAGCTACATAAGCTGTATAACTTGGTACCCACTGAGGCGAAACGAATGCGGTCTTTGAGAAAGAGGCTGTTTCTCGGTATTTTTTTTTTTTTTTTATCAAGATTTTGTGGCGGACGGCTGCTCAATACGAAAAATAACCGAATATCAGCACTCGTTCACTGCGAATTTATTAAAAATGGGCGAAATTACGGGATATATCGGTGGGAGAAATAACTTCTCGGTTATTTTCGGGTTCGTTTGGCTATTGAGTATTTGAGTAAGTACCCGATAAAACCAACAGCCATAGTTAAATAACATTACGGCGATAGCATGGGCATAACTATTTTCCACCAAAACCGTACCTTTCCGTTTTCGGGCAATTAACGAAAGATGGTCAGTGAGAAAGACAATCTACCTATAATAATAATGTAAGAATATATCTTACTTATTTGTTTTTACAAGCCT